CGAGGAGACAGATCTTTTAAAGCTGTGGCGCCTCGCCTCTGGAATGAGCTACCTTTAACATTCGTTCTCTTGTTTGTATTTTAAGAAACAACTAAAGACCCACTTTTTTAAACTCGTTGTGTTTACTGTTTTTGTATGTTGTTTTAATTTATAGAAACTTTTTATAAATTTGTGAAGCACTTTGTGACCCTGGTCTGTGAAAAGTGCTATAGAAATAAAGTTTACTTACTTACTTACTTACACTCATTATTAATATTACTATTGCTGCGTACTTCAGGTCAGCTGGATACAAAAAAGTTCCTACAATATTTCTTATGAATGTTAAAAACCAAACAAAAAAACAACTGGAATCTTACCAGTAAAGGAGCATCACCAGCTAACAAACCAGCTACATCTTCATGTTACTCTATAAACAGCTTTATGACATAAAGATGTAATAAATTGCTCAAATATCTCTTTCATTTTGTGTCTTTGCTTGGTGGGTTAGTCAATTTTAGCTTCCAAATAAAACATAAAAGATAACATTATAATTAAAGAGATAAATCAGCTGAACCAGGAGCATAAATGATTGTTTTTATTGCTGTATGTGAAGCAGCAGTCAGATAATGAGCTGATTAAAAGGTTCAGCCTTCTAGATTGAATTTATCGCTGATGATTCCTTAATCAGAAGGCGGTTTAATTAAGCAGCCATACCGCTAACGTTGCTAACACAGCCGCAACAGGAGCACTCATTTCTTCCTCACACACGATGGCGCCCTGGGCAGTGAGCCGCGTTGTTCCCATTAAACGCTGCCTCAGCTGTGATCAGCCTGAATCCCAACAAACTAAAACTTCAATGCATGAAGAAGCGTAATCCCAGATTATTACATTTTATATTTAGCGTGCCGGATAAAAAATCCCTAATCTGTTTAAATCTTTTCTGTTTTTACTTCTTTTTTCCCCCCATCTCATAAATCATCTGCTTTTATGCAAAAACATGCAACTGTTTTGCATTTTTTATCTCACCCCACTCAATTACACATTAATCCAGTCTAAGTAACACATAGTTAAAAACACTGCAGCTCTTTCTTTTTTTATATATTTCTACATTTCTGTGATGTTTTTTTTTTTATTTTGCTCAGATTTTCTGCAGGTTCACCTGAATTTCCAACCCTGACAAACAATAACGGAGATTTCTATTTAATAATGAATAATATCTGATAAAAGCAGATGTTAATAAAGTGATTAGCTCAGTAAGATTATTTCTTTAACTTCATTGGACGCTTAGGGACGAATCTGCCTCACAGAAAGAAGAGGAAGAGATTTTCAACAAGCCAAAAGATTTTTATTTTTCAGTAATGGATATTAAATTCAATCATCTTGCTTCAAGATACTGAGTAAATCTGTGAAGTCTATTGTGATCAGAGCGCAGGAAGCAAAGACTGATCCGAGTCTAAATTCTTTTAAAAGATGCATAAATGAGGAAATCCTGTCATCAGGATTCATTTGACTGCTTTCAGGTGTGCGACGCATGGAAAGGTTTTTAAGGGACAGAGTGAATAAGATGTATTAATAGATTAGGGTCAGTGGGAGCTTTCCCTTGTGGATAATTAGTGCACTAACCCTTTCAATCCAATCCAATTACAATTAGTGCATTTCCCTACCACAGAGCCGATGACACAAGCAGGGAATTCAATTGAGACACGAAAACAAACTTGTAATTAAAGGATTCCACAGTTCCTGAAAACAGCAACCCGTGACTTCTAGACTCTTCCACAATCGGCAGCAGGTGCTGTATCTTGTTTACAGCCACACTGATACATTAACTCTGTGTCTGGAAGTCAGCGCAGCTAAAAGAACCTTTCTGGAAATGTTGTGGACTCTGTGAACTTTGCTTCACTCCCGCTGTATGTTGAAACGCAGCTTGGCCAAGGACGAGAGGCGAGGAGCGCAATGGGGCAGAGCTGGAAGAGCTCAGTGTTTCTTGGAGATATGCAGGTGCTGCAAGAGGGCGGGGCCATGACTCCACAAAGTAACAATGTGAGTCATGGCCAATAACAGGGAGTCACATTTTTTATATAAAAGTCTATTGATGCCATGTGGCCTTTGAAAGGAAGGGAAATTACGCTGGAAATCGGATGCTTGTGAGTTTTTCACCGCAGTAAATGCCTGTGAGGGCGGCTGGTGTTCCCTGAGCGCGTTGCTCTTCTGTTTTACACAACATGCAGAACAGAAACCAAGAAACACGGCCAAGCTTTTATGCCCCTACCAGCAGGGTTTTATCTAATCTCTACTTTACCTTAAAATAATAAAACTAATTCAGTCTGGACTGGAGCGTGTTTATGTCTCTGCTCATGCCTGCTCAGCAGTCTGAAAGGGAAGATATGATCATTTAATTATTGATTAGGCTGCAAGTAAATTTAGCATAAAATGTGTCTCTGTGACACGAAGCAGCAGCAGACATGATTTAACAACTGAAGGATAATTATAAGCGTAAATCTAACTATAAATAACTACTTTTAAATATAAGTAAAATATAAATTTTATTTAATTCTTAGATTTTCTACTTGTTTATTTAAACCTAATTTAACATTTTGGGATCTGTGTTGGAAATGCACTGAAAAAAATAAAGCTACCGCTTTTGACATTTACTTAATCACATTTAGTCACTTTAACACAATTGTTTGATGTTCAACCCTGCGAACATCAAACAATTGTGTTAAAGTGACTAAATGTGATTAAATTCCAAAAACGGATGCATTATTTATTTCAATGTGATTCCAGGTAAAAGTCAGGATCACACACTGAAAAAATAATGCAACCGTTTCTGGCAATTACTTAATCATATTTAGTTACTAAATATAATTAAGTAAATGCCAAAAGCAGTTGCATTATTTTTTTCAGTGCAGGCTGATAAATGTTTTTATTGAAGTTTAGGAATGGAGGATTTTTAGAGATTCAGATTCCTTCATTTATAAATTTTATTCTGGCCTTTTCATCATGTATGATAAATATGGCAGCCATATTGGAGGTCAGACTTCTGACTTTATTGGACAAAAGAATGAGGAAAATACCAGAAGACAGTAAAGACAGTGTTTGCCAGAGGTGTTCGAGGCTCCTCCTTTATTTCACACATAGCTGCTTGTTTCGCTTATGCCTCGGGAAGGCTCGGAGTTACACTCTTTGGTTGAAAGAAGAAAGAAAGAGGTGAGAATGAGTGATTTACCTGAACCCGCGGTCGGTGCAGTGCAGCCAAACGGAAGGCTCAGCCTTGATAGTGGAAAAAGTGTTTTGCCCTTGAGGAATCACTTCTGGGTAACTTTCCACTTGGCCGAACGCCTGAGCCGCAGAAACTTGCGCAGCAGCTTTACTGGCCCGATCCACCCTCCTGTACCACACACAGCTGCACTCCTGCCGGGGTCCGAAAGAGGTCTGACCGCAGTATTTGCACAGAAAAGCAGGTCCGTCATAAGCGCCCCGGTGAGGCTGGGGCTGCTCGCCGTACGCGCGCTCCGTTGCGCACCAGCCCCCCTGGGTCTCCCTGTACAGGTCCGCATCGGCAGGGTAGGCAGAGTATGGCTTTAAAGGTCCGGCTGGAGCCACTTGAGGATTGGTGGGAACCTCCGACATGGAGCTCATCATCATGTTGGAATCTTTGCAAACAAATCTGGAGATCACCGATCCGCGCGTCACGGACTGCGCGCTCTCCATGTCCCCGAACTGGTCCGCGCAGCTCACCTGCCGCAAACCGTGGCAAACCTCCCCAAACTCATCCACTCCCAGGCTGCCGCCGTCCCGGATCAGCCTGCCCCCCTCCGCGCCTTCGGAGGAGCCGTTTCCTGCGGGGTCTGCGAAGGCGCTGCCGGGGCAGAGGTTGATCCCGCCGAGCGGAGACGACAGCGGGTCTAACCCCAGAGACACGGACACGGCTCGGCTGAGCTCCAGGGTCGGACACGCGTAAGCGTCGATGTTCTCCCTGTCGCTCAGCATCGCAGACTTCTCCGTTTCTTCTCGCTCGGACGCGCTGCAGCGCAGAAAGGCCATCTTCGCCTCTCGTCCTTGGAGTTAGAGCAGAGTGAGCGGAGAGAAAACAAACCACTTTTTCCCTCCCCGGGGAGAAAACGCCTACTCACAGAGACTCCACTCATGCGTCTCAGCGGATGGAGGATTCAGATTAGCGACGCCGCTGAAGGGAAGAGACGAATGAAGCGCGCAACAACTTTTTTCTAACTCTTTCCTACAAAGAAAGCATTTTGAGGAGCAGCGCTGCGCGTCTAACATGAAGCTGGACTGCAGCCGATAGAGTCAGCAGGGGGAGGACTTTGAACCTAGATTGGATACTATGTCAGATCTGCAAAAAGAACAGTCACCAGGGCGCAAACGATCCCTAACCTCACCCATTATCTCTGTGCGTTTGCCCCCTGATATTTGGGTGCAAAAAAAAGAAAAAAGTAAACAGATCTCGCGAGATTAGCTGCGATAAGGCTGTTAATCTACTTAAAAATCATTGTGCACATTTACTAGCAGAACTGTAGCAGCCATAGTTTCACAATCCAGCTTGTTTGTCCCCTCAGAGCGCACGTAAAAGATAATAAATGCCCGGTGTGCTTAAACTAATCATTTATTTTATTATGAACCTCTGTGGTCAAATGGAAAGAAATAATAACAATCATTGAACTTCATTAAGAACCCAAATATTTTGATAGGATTTCAAAAGAGTATAAATGAGGAAGGAAATATTTCCCAAAACTTTTCATAAACCAAAGACTTTTAGAAATCAGTGAAAACTGCTGCTGCATTTGGCATTTACTTTATTATATTTAGTTACTTTAACACAATTGTTTCATGTCCTGCCCCGCTAACATGAAACAATTGTGTTAAATTAACTAAATATGATTAACTAAATCCCAAAGCAGTTATTTATAAACATTATTTTTATCAGTTTAGGGCGCTCGGTGAAATACTTTAAAATCAACATTTCCAGCCAATAGTGTTTTTAGAATCCACAACAAGACCTTATTCTCTTTGTAACACCAAAAAAATATGGATATAATGATGTCAAAAATGAATACCAATGTAATAACCAGAAACACTAACATGCCCAAATATATTAAGAAAAATAACCAAAGTGCTTCTAGAAGAAATTCATGACAAAAACACTCAGAGTGAAAGAAACACATTTTTATTGGTCCATCATAACCTTAGAGGCATTAATGCTCATACTGGGACTGACATTCTGTAGTTTATAAACCTGAATATATTTGTTAACTGGGATTATTAACTTTTTAACTTTACTTTTTAACTTTTTACCTTTTTTTCTTGACTTGTTACATTTTTTTAACTTAATTTACAGTAGGAAATATATCATTATATTGCTGTATGCTAATATCAACATTAAGTGTAGAGATCAAAAAGCAAGTTCTGTATGAGTCTCTCAGGATCTTCTACTGTGATTCAACTACAGGCGTCTTCAATGTTTTCCAGGCCAAGGACCCCCAAACTGATGGCGAGATGGAGCGGGGACCCCCTAATTATATATATCGTCTGAAATAGTGTTCTATCAAACTGGTCCTATAGTCACTCTATTACAGGTGGAGTAATGTAACTAAAGTAATCCCTCCCTGGGATTATTAAAGTAATTCTGATTCCTGGTTGATGGGACAGGTGTTGTGAATGAAACGGTGTCCAGCTTGAAAGAGCTCCTGTGTGTCTCTGAATGTGAGCATTGATGACTGAAAGACATCTTCTGCCTCCATTTATCTGTTTACTACAGTCTGTTGGATTTATGTTCATGTGGATTTAAAGACATTTCAATTAGTGGGAAAAATTGAAGGAGGGAATGCAAAAAGAAATCTAATCAACAAAAACTTTCGCTCCCCCATGCAGTCCCTCCATGGACCCCCTGTTGAAGACCTCTACTCTACTACATGCAAAGGAAAAGGGCTCCAAGGCCCCATCTAGCAGAGTGGGGATGCAGAAGTTGTGCATTTTTTTAAGGAATATAACAAACTTAAGGATGGATATTATATTGGGACGCCAAAAATTATGATTTATTGCCAAATAGATTTTTTCCAACACCCCAACGTTTAATGACTCATCTAATTGGTCAAATGCAAACATAAGATGATATGCTGAATGGCTGGACATAGATCTAGACGGGGGGGGGGGCTCCATTTGTAAGGGGTATGCAAGTGATCAAGAACGCTAACTTGGCCTATAAAGGGTTAATATGAGCATGAAATGCTTTGGCTCCATGTAGAGTGCTATGGGGTCCAGATCACTCTAAACACCATCCTCACTGAGAAATATCAGGCTGCAGGAGATGGAAGCTGGACAGATTGATCCAAAATATGGATAAAATTCTGGTATCGGTATCAGATTGAAAGTATGGAGATGAGATCAATACTTTAGTGTGAAATTCACTCTTTTATGCACGGCTTCCAACAGGCAGCGCCTCCATCTCACCGCCAGCCCTTTGGGATTTATTTTCTGATTTATTCTTTATTAGCTTATCAGCTCTCTACCTAAAAGGAGATTGTGTTTTATTTGCACTCAAATAATGTTTTATTTAAGACACATTTCCTATTGTTGCTGTTTATCAGAAATAATGTAAAACTGACAGACCGTAGTAGCCACGTTTGCTCAGCCATGTCTTCTTTTCTTTTTAGGGCTTTCAGCACAAAATTGCGGTTTCCTCGTACTGTGTGAGTTTTAGCTGCGTGCAACGATTGAAAAAAATCGCACAGTGTATGCCCGGTTTAAGAAGTGATGGGAAGATGCAGAAATCATCGTAGAAAGAGGCTGTGAAAGACTCAAAGGATTCAGATCAGGACTTTAAAGCTGGTATTCACATTTATGTTTAGCACATAGGAATGGGCAACTTGGAGGTGTGTGTGCAGCGACATATTGGTCTGCCGCAATAGCAGAGTTTATTCAATTGTAGTAAAAGTTTGTGTTTGTACTTGACAAACTGGTTAAAGTTACTTATGAACCTCCTGCTGGGCTTAACACAAATGTTTCAGATTATTTTATTTTTTTCCAAAATTTAAAAAAAAACTGTCCACTTTTGTCAGTCATTTGGATTCAAGCTTAGTGCCAGAAGGAAATGTATCATAAAATGTACCCAGGCTGTACTTTCTTCTATTCATTGTCTAATTAAGCCTGAACATTTCACAGACAGTTGAAAGAGTTATTTATGGTAATCCAAACCAATCTATTCTAATAACATATCTTTGTAAAAACAAAAATATAAAACCTAAATTTTGCGAGACAATAATATAACTGTAAGTGGAGCGATGATGCTGGGAATGCGGTGTGTTGTGTTTATGACTGGCATAACTGATAATTGGTGACAATATGCCTCGTTAAGCACATTGAAAGCGATGCTCAGTGATTCATAAGGAAGCAGAAAACAGAGTAGAAGTGATATTTGCTTCTGTTCATTTTATTCTCTAAAATAAGCAGCAGCGAACTTGGGATATAAACTCAACTGGCTCCAATGCCGGCGCCTCAATCAGTCCAAACTGGGGAAACATTCAGAGGGGTCATTTCACAAATGCAGCTGTGCATAATCAGAGTGTCCAGGACATCAGGGAAACAAGGAGGAGAAAAAAGATCCCAGTTTCCAACTGTGGGTGGAACCTTCGATGTGCTTTCAGATTGCAGGGAACTGAATAAATAATTTACTATCACATTCGGTTACATCAAGACATCTTTTCAGGTAATAATCAGCTCCTACTGATCTAAAATATCCAGTTCATCCTAATGCTGCTCTGACCCTGACTGTCTTACATGGACTCAAACTCATCAATGCGCTGCTTCGTGTTGCCCTGGCGAATCTGACGCAGGGTCTTGTATTTGTCACGGCCTGCCCTCACGTTCTCAGCATGGATCAGGTCATTGGGGGTCTTCTTGCTCTCGTCTACGGCTCTGGCCAGCTCCGTGCTCAGGAACTGAAAAAGAACAGAGGAAAATAGAGTCCTTTAGCCTCAGTCTGGAAGACTATTCAGCAGCCCCGCTCCTTTCTCCCACACTCCTCCAGTTCCGTCTGAAAAGAAAAGAAAAAGCATTGGGTTGGCGTCATTTATTCAGGCTATTTTTTCGTTCCGTCATGGTTTAAAGCACCATATGTTGTTCAGACTGCAGACGGGATCTGACCCTTTATCCAAACCATAACAATCAGGATGTACCATGAGTGCAGCGACGTTTAATTACGTAAAGTGCACTTAGTTCTGGCAAAAGCACAACGTGGAAGAGCAATTACTCTGCCATATTTAAACGAAGAGTCAAACCTGAAAACAAATAGGAGAGAACAAACTAAATTAAACCGTAAATTAAAAAAATGCTTTTCAAAGTATAAACTGAGTGACACAAAACAGAAAGGTCTCTAATGCACAAATATTTACCATCATTTCTCTGAGTTACTGGGGGGCCTGCCACAGCGAAGCAAGAGCATAGAATCCCACCTTTGCATAATTTAAACAGCCCTGCATCATTTTTGACCCAAGTAATAATTCATTTGAGATATATTCAGTTCTATTCAGTTTATTTCTATAGCTCCAATTCACACCATGTCGTCTCAGGGGACTTTATAGAGGCAGTT